GGAGAGATGTAGTTATTAAATCTCAGCTGCTTATCAAACTGATATGAAAGTCATTTTGCATGATTGCTTTGCATCCTCAAATCTTCCGTTTTTATTTGCAGTGCATCTCTGTGCTTTCTTATTAGAAAAATACTCAAAGGATAAAAAAGCTGATAATATTATTCAGTTTTGACAATTAGGTAGAAAAAACATTTTAAGAAGTGCTTTTTTATTGCAGCAAGTAATAATATTGGTGGTCCTCCTGACAGCAGTCTCTTCTCATGCTAGCTGGAATGATGTTAGTTCTACCCTGTAACTTCTAAAGCCTTGATGGTTATACTGGTAAGGCTGATAAGAAGCATGGAAAAGGATGCCATCACTCTCAATATTATAACTGGTATAAACAGCTATGACTTACACTATCAGGGGAAGAACCACGTTTTATATGTTCTCCATTCTGCCCCCTTTCTCAAGAATGTAAGGGTGCAAGACAGCAAGAAACTACTCCTGGATTTCTGCTAGTTAGCTGTGTTAGCCCTCAACCCACTGAACAGCAGCTGCATATGCCGGGGATGTGTCATAGCAAATGTACTCACCTTTCCTTTCTAGGTACATCGTGCTTCTTTGCCAAACACTGCTTGGAATCCAGAGTTCCTGCTAGGAATCATGCCTCACTAGACCCCATATGGGCCAAGGCTTTAAAGGTAACATTGAGCCCTTATTAAGGAACTTGATTATAGTATTTTTGCTAAGCTATGAAAAGAAGAGGAAGTGAGAGAGAATAAACCATACCCAATATATGCTAATTGCAATATCTTAATGCATTCCAAGAAGGGACTTGGATAGCATGATGATGGACACCTAAAGAGCAAATATAAGAGTATATTAAATAAGAAAGCATCAAGTTTCACTTGTCTGGACTTGATCCAAAACTCATTGAAATCAATGGAAAGAGTCCCATTGAACTCAATGGGCTTTAGATCAGGCTCTTAGACAAGAGGAGCTCAGGTGTTGTTATTTCCCCAATGAGTTGCTGTGATTCTGTCACAATAACTGGCCATGAGTAAATTCTATATATATGAAGTGTTTTAATTGCTTCTTTGTCATATCAGCGGGGCAGATAGTGTGTAATCAAGAGCAGTGATTGTACTTGCTGAACAAACTGGACAGACAGAGCAAACCTGGAGAACCAAAAGTGAAAACAGAGAGTTTAAGAACTAAGGCCAGGTCTACACTAAGGGAGAAAATCGATCTAAGATACGCAACTCCAGCTACGTGAATAACATAGCTGGAGTCGACATACCTTAGGTCAAGTTTCCATAGCCCGTTGACTTCTCATACTCCTCATGACCCAGTGGAGTACCAGAGTTGATGGGATTCCATCAATGGTCGATTTAAGAGGTCCTTACTAAACCCGCTAATTCAAACCCCGTGAAATCAATCTCTGCAATGTCGATCTCCCAATAAATGGAGAAAAGCTCTAAGGGAACAGAGAAATGGGAGGGGAAAAAAGGAAAAATGTTAAAGAAGGGAGTGAAAAAGAAGGTGAAAATAGAAAGGGAAACAAATAGAAAATATGCAAAGGGGAAAATCAAGCAACTTTCATGAACACAAGAATGAAGGAGCTGGAGAAGGAATTGTTGGCGAAAGGAAAGACGGAGGAGGGATGTGTGGCTTAACGCTCTGGTCATAGGACTGTGAGACAAGTACCCTTAGGTTTCTGATCTCTGTCCTGGCAGTTTCTCCATCATTCTAAAGCCTTGAGAAACAATGTTAAAAAATCAACTGTGCCTCATTTTTCCTGTCTGTAAATTGTGGATTCTAATACCTGCAGTGCAGGTACATGAGAAGATTATTTGGCTAATATAATTGGCACTTCGTATTCATCATTTCATTACCAATTCATTTAAGCAATTCATGAAAATAAGCATTTCTTCTCTACCTTCTGACATTTTGGGGGTTAACTGGTATTTAAATAATTGCCAAAAGCAATAGGTGCTTTGTACCATTGCTCCTTAGGACATGTCATCATTTTAAAAAATTGGAAAATGGCATGGAAATGTAGCAATTATTTATTCTTCACAAATCTTTATCTATCTGTTTATAGCAAATATCCTACACAGTATAGCAGAGCAGTCAATGCATTAACTATTTCCCCACATTGTCCTGTTGCAGTTGAATTTAACCATTTCCTAATGTCTTGTGCTCAAAGTATTAACATTTTTAGAAAGAACAGCATGCCACTTTTTTTATTAAGGGGTGTGAGCAGGTAAGCGATGATCATTATCAGTCACTCTGTCTTCCTTTTTCACTCTTTTTTTCTCCATACTGAATTTTCATTCCTATATGTTCAACTGGTTTCTCCAATCTGCTCTCCAATCATTTCTTTAATATTTCAGCTCCCTTTCACAATTTCATGCAGTATTCCATAAGTTCTAAGGTTGGTCCCTTGCTCCTCTCACACAGATCCTTATCCGTCATGCACTCTCATGAGTTCAGTACCCATACAGAAGTGGATGGCTCCCTAATTTACCTCTTTATCCATGACAAGTCCCTTCTGTCCATTCTTCTATCTCTAACTGTTTGCCTCCTGGATATCTGCCCACAAACTTTACATAAAACTTTAATCTTCTCATCTTCTTTCCTGATTCCTTTCTTCTCTATTCTTGTAGGAAATTCTTTCTCTATTATAGTGTAGGGAGATTCCAGCACCATACCAGCTTCTCTTCCTTTCTCTGTTACTCCCTGTCTTTATTAATCCTGTCACTGCTTCTACACATGTATAAAACCTGTCCCCTTCTTTCTGTCCTACCTACCAAGCCCCTTATCTGTGTATTTGTATGCTGCCTCCTAGACTACTGTAATCTCCTTCCTCTCTGGGCTATTTTATCTCCATTCAAATTCCACTGCATACTGTTCCTCATTCCACACTTACACACTGTATCAGCCAGGTTGCTGGAGAGAGTAAGCTTGCATGCTCCCTACTGATGCAAAGAAGGTAAATGAGTGGGCTTATTCCTCAGGAGGTATCATTGCTCTTAATGGTTGCTTTGGTATAGTACAGCTGTGCAGCTTGCAATGTAACCTGGTCCATCAACAGTTTGGACAACATATGGGAGAGGAGACACCAGATTTCATCAGGAAAAAGGCAAACTCTATATAAGATATCAGGAAAAATTTCATGACAGTGAGCTCTATGAGGGTATGAGACAGCCCCCTTTCCTTCCTTCAAAGACATTTATAGATATTTAGTACAATCAATTTTAAATTTTAAATTCAATTTAGAATAACCCACCTTAAATTTGAAGAAGAATCCTGCATTGGGAGGGAACAGATTAAAATGCCCTATAGCAAGGCAGTCACCCCATTCCAGGTAAAATAAAGGTTAAATCCATCCCTGGGAGAGGGCTTTACCATGGAGCAAACAGCTTCAGAAGGTAGCAGCCAATTAGGGCCCAGCTGGGGCAGAATAAACAGGGGCCACTAAGCTCAGATACACACTCTAGCTCCAGCTGTGGAGCAGGAAGGACTGGCTGCCTGGTAAGTTAGAGAGGGTACCTGAGACAAAGCAGCACTGGGGAAAGGCAGGCAGAGCTGGGGAGCTCTGGCCTGACTCAACTCCCAGTTGCAGGCCAGATACAGGGGCCTGAGGGATACTAGGGCTGCAGGGAGGTGGCAGGATATATAGATATGGCAGCAGGTCCACACCTCTTTGCCAATGATGAGTAGCCATTCCAGATTGCAGTTTGCTCCTGAGATAGGGGCTAAATGATGACTAGTATTGGGTCACTCAGGAAAAGTGGGTCCAGGGGATTCCCTGGGAGGGAAGGACCACAGCGTGCGGGGGCACAGCTGTGAGGCAGTATTGTGAGGAAAGGCACTGTGGGCTGGGAAGGGCATAGGGCATAACAAGGAGCAGAAGACAGGTAATTCAGAGTGAGTCACTGGGGGTGCTCCAGGGTTCAAAGGGCTAATTCCCAGATAGAACAGCAGGAGGCACTGCTCAACTGAGTCACGACCTGCCCTTATTGAACATTTTTTTATTAGGTGACAGGGACAGCCAGCCAGGGCTTTGCCAGAACAAAGAGCATTTGTTACTAATGGCTGGGGCAATAATTCCTTTGCGGGATAAGAGCAAATTGGTCAAACACTGACTACTGATGTTGCATAGCGGTCCTGCTAACATCAATGGGAGCAATGAGTATGCATGTAAGGGTTTTATTTAGCCTAGTATATTTCTTGTGCTAAACATTGCTTAAAAAAGAAAATAAACAACATTGCATTGTTTTACTGTTTGCAGCTGATATTTTATCTTTGAAAGGTGGTAGCCTTAGATTGTCAATACAAACAAAAAAGGCAGGTGACCTGTTAAATATGTATAATGTCCTTTGCACACTGTTTAAACATGCTCAGCAGTATCTTCCCACATTTTCCCTAGAAGAGTAAAAGTACCGTGTATAGCTGTAGAGCTGGCCCAATACTTCCATGCAATGCAGTCATTAGGGACTAATTCACAATGAATAGTTTAGGCAGTGGGTTTAGCATCCCCCCCCCCACACACACACATTTTTTTTTCTTGACTCATGGGATCTCGAGGAGCAGCGTGAGAGTTCCCTGAGTTTGGCTGAATTCTTTAGTATAACAGATAGATTTTTTTTTTTTTGCAAATATTTTGTATGGATTGATGAGGAACCATTCTCTGTAAATATTCCCCAAATGCTACTTGAGCTTTGTTTGTTAGTTGTGACTGATTAGATGAGTCACAATGTTCCAACTGGCTAAGTGTGCAAGAACTACTGGGACAAATACTCACATGTGTAAATCTAAAGTCTGGTTACTACATATACATGCAGCTTTAACATTCTTTTTGTATGAACAGTCATGTCATGAAACTAACCCAAATGTTTATAGGAATTAAACACAAATGGTAAGGAGTAAGGAGTATAGCCAGTGTGCATTCATTTCAAACTTCTAGTGAATATACAAAGAGGGTTTTTTTGGATAAGTTTATGCAGCTCTAGCAGATACCTGTAGATTACAGGCATAATGTTGATGTCTCACCAGCCTCCTTTCATCCAATCCTGACTTTTTTTCTTTGTTGTGATGTAGCAGTGGGGATAAAACAATAGCCAGGTTTCCCTTAAGAAAACAAATTCCAAATAAATTTCTCTAGGTACTTCAGTTTTCAATAGCAGGCAAGATTATTGGAGTTGCACCCAGGAGGTCTAAATAGCTCAGTGCCTGCCTATCTCTAGTATTCAATCATGCAATAGAAAGGATAATTGGGAGGCAAAAATAGTTTCAAAACTCTACCTATTCTACCTGCAAATATAAGCAAACATTCACTGTTAAAATGCATTGTAGGCATTAATGTTTTTGGACTATGATCCTAAGCTTGAAATTATAGTGGTTCACACACATAATGCAAAGCATCTAAGAATAATAAACTCTTGGAGCCAACTTCTGCTCTCAGTTATAATTTTGCACCTTCAAGAAACATAGTATACCTACAAGGATATAATGAATGGCCAGATTCATTCCCACCAGTGCAGGGAGTCACAATTCCCTGCCTGCCCTCTTCACCCATCTCTATAGAGAACAAGGAATGTGTCCAATGCTGCGCTCCCTGGTGGTTCATGTATGTACTATTGTTGTACTTATGGCAGAGTAAGGATTGTAGAAAAAGTCACTTAGAAACCATGATTTCGGATGTCCTGCCAAACCGTACGCTGAATAAAGAATTATATATTTCATCATGGGGTTTCCCATGGTGTTCTCATTGTAGTGTCTTGGTGCTTTACAAAGATGAATGAATGGATCTTCACAACACTCCTGTGAGGTGAGGTAATATTATGATCCCAGTTTTACACATAGGGTTGTGGCAGAATAAAGGGTGAAAGGAAAGGTGGGGCATAGGACTGACACTGAGGGAGACAGGATACAAACCAATTTTTCAGTTGAGTGGCTAAAACATAAAATTGGAGGGAACCCTTTTGCGTTGACCCAAAACAAAATATTTTCATTTATTTCAGTTAACCTTTTGTTTTAGTGTCAAGGATTTCTTTTACTTTAAAAATATTAATAAAATTGAAGTAAAACTTGATACGTAATCATTTTGAATCAAAAAGACAAAATGTTTCATTTAGAAAACATCAGCATTTTAAAAGCCGACTCCCTCCAGAACTGGCTCTGTGGTGACTCCTCCTGCACTATTGCCTTTATCAACATGGCAAAGACCAGAACATTTCACAGAGGAGAGGAAAATGATTTGAAAAAGGCACAACAAAACCTACTTGGTTAGTAGGGGCATTCAAATCATATTTCTGCACTCGTGCATACAACTCACTTTAAACGCATACTATTTTTGTAAGTTTCCACAAGCATTACGTGTGTTACCATCAGAGCATGACAGTTTAAACTCTGATCTCACTTATCCATTAAGGTTTAGCATCTTATAACTTAGAAACCACAATGATGGCCATGTAATACTGTTGAGAGAGAGAGAGAGAGAGAGAGAGAGAGAGAGAAAGAGATTCTGATCTAGAAAAAATATATGATGTTGTAGTTCCACCATGAGTGATATTAAACATATGGGTAGGCTTTTGCAGGATTTGGCCCATAATCAGCAGAGAGATAAAACAGATAGATAAAGTTAAATCAGACTTGCAGCATTATTTAAATGTAGCTCTTTATATTTATAGACAACAATATGCTGCTGTTACAAAAGCTATTTCATTTAGTACCAACCCACATTCAGCAGTGTAATTATTCTCTTAATTATTGAAACATTCATCATAGTTTTCCAATTGATTCATGAGTGGCTGGCTGCATTTCTTTGACTCATTAATATAGTGACAAGTAAATTGACAATACTTTTTCTAACCTCCTATATCTGAACAGTAATACTTGGGATAGAAGACTGAATTGTTTTTACTTTGCTTGTTATTTATTATTGTTACTAACAATACCTAATAGTAATTGTCTCATTTAATGGCAGAGATACAAAACAATATATTAGGAAATCCTAATTTTCAATGGATTTCATAGTAAAATCTTCCAAGTAGTATCTTCTTGAGGCTACATTTTTTTTTATTATGAAGTGGGTAATAAAGAAGTGATCATTCTAACTACAGATACAAATTATGAAATACATAAACCCAAGACTAAAAAATAGCAGTGACCTTATATGCCTGGAAATAAGAAGTAGTTTCAGTCACATATATCAGACAGGATTAGCAAAGAACAAAGGGAGTACACACAAGAGAAAAGATTACCGTAATATAAAGAGCTCCAAAAATGTATTTAAAATAAAATTCTATGGTCTTTCTTCTTTTGGCATGACTGTATGTTATTATCATAGCTTGCTTACAAAAAAGGCTATGCAAAGTTTATAATATTTTCTTAACTTACACCATAAAAGCAGAGCTATTTCTTCTTTCTTACCCATTTTTCACAAGCTATATAGACTAAAACATGACACTAGATTTTTTTGCCATCACTCCATTATTTATTTTATTTATAGTGTTCCCAAAAATGTACTAGGTGTTTTCCCCACTGCCTGCCCTATGCTCACCAGCTTCCTCTCAGTAGCTGACTGATGGTGTCCAGAATCTCAATCCCACAAAGTCCAGTCTTAGTGCGATATCATGACTACTTGTCCTTGGATATTACTCCTTGACTTCATGATGCTAAACAAATTGACAGCTCCTTTTCCTGTAGTTCCAGCTAGGGTATCTGTGTGTAATGTGAGAAACCAGAAAAATAACTAAACAAGGCGCAAGAGCATAAGAAACAGAAAAGTTGTGTGTGTGGATGCCACTCATGCACTATAGTTTGAAAGAGTAAATCTGTGTAAATCAATGCATTTATTTAGCTC